CTGAAATTGTCTAATCATTTTTGTTGGTCTTCTATGAACTCCTTCCAAGTGTTCTGCATTCTCAGATTGAGAAACATAGCACTCAATGAAGGGTCCCAGCTGTTCCCCTGATGTTTGTATCAGTCTGAATACATCCAGTGGGAATTAATTTTCATATTAATTTTATTCTAGAAAGTGCCCCCAATTTTTTAAAGTATCAAAGGATGAGATGGAGGGTTTTTGTATGAAACACTAGGAAAAAGTCTATGGAAAGCTACAATGCCACTGGCTGCCACTGACAAATTCTCATCTGTTGGCCAGGCCATTGTTTTTCCATTTAGAAAATGGAATTTAATAAAGATGTAGTTGCTTGGCCTTAGAAACATCACAAATAGGGAATTGTGCTGTAGAAGCAATGCAAAGGACATCAGTGAAGAAATGTATGACTGTGGGAGGAAAATGGACCAGTATCATAATGAGAGAGAGGGAGAGAGGGGGAGAGAGGGGGAGAGGAAGAAGGGGGAGGTAGAGGGACAGAAAAAAGAGAGAAGGAGGAGGGAGAGGGAGAGAAGGACAATGTGAAGTTAGAGAGGAGGGAGGGATGGAGGGGGAAAAGGATGAAGGAAGGAAGGAAGGAAGGAAGGAAGGAAGGAAGGAAGGAAGGAAGAAAGGAAGGGAAGGAGGGAGGGAGGGAGGGAGGGAGGGAAGGAGGAATAGCAGACAGCTCCTATATTCTGTTGGTATCCATGAAAGGTCCAAAGAGCTAAAGGAAGGACCCTGGCTCATTGGGGGTGACGTCCACCCCACATGTCCCTGCACCTTCCCGTGGTGAACATATTGGAAGAAATGCACAAGGGTCATATGGGAGAGGCAGGAATGGTAAGAATTTGATATACATCAATGGAGGATGTAAATGGGACCTATAGCCTGGGACCTGGACCTACCTTCTAAGGACTCTTGGGTTACACACACCAAGTCCAATTCTGGTAGCCTGATGCCAAAGCAGATCACTGTCTCTATAGCTCATTATCTACACTCCAGAGTAAAACTCCAGAGAAATATGAATAAATATTAGGTACAGCTCATGTCTGGGGTTCCCCAAAAGTGGGCAACCTGTTCCCCAACTTCCACATGGGTTCAGAATTGGTATCATGTTTGAGATATCAGCCTTTTTCTCACCCACCACAGAAAATGGATAACATTCAAAGGACTCACAGGCATTTTTGAACAAATACAAAAACATAAAACACTTGAATTTCCCATTAGACATGAATGAATGAATGAATGAATAAAAATGCATTTACTGTTTGCCAGAAACTAGACTAAACTTCAAATATAAAAAGCAAGAAAGTTCCTGCCCATAATACATTCACATTCTAATAGCATCCATATAAAGTTGTGGGGATCAGAGGGGCGTTTTTAGGAATGTGCTGGAGTCAGCTTTAACCATCCTTTGGGAGAGTCAGTTGTTAAATTTTCAGTGGCAGTACTTATATTTCATCAAGTCAGCCTACAAATCAGGATTTGGTTTATCATTTTGTTAATTATTTAGACTTAAGAAAGAAATAATGATGTAGATTAACTTTAAAAGTATTTTACACACTTAATTTTTCCCCAAAGAAAAGGGTTAGTAAACATTTGCCAGCCTAGCTAGGTGGCACAATGGAATACAGGGCCAGGCCTGGAGTCAAGAAGATCTGAGTTCAAATTTCGACTCAGACACTTACCAGCTATGTGATCCTCTGCAGGTCACTTAACTACTGCCTGACTCAGTTTCCACATCTGTAAAATGGGGAGAATAATAATATTTACCTCCCAGGGTGGTTTTGAGATTAACATTTGCAAATAATATCTACAGTGGAGATAATATTGGTAAAATGTTTTATAAACCTTAAAGCACTATATAAATACTAGCTGCTTTTCCATGCTTTCTTGTGAGGTACGGCACCCCAAGGTGGGACTAATAGCTCTGAAACAGGATGAGGAAGGACCAGGGAAGGAGGGATATGACCAGAGATGTCTTCAGGGAGTCTCAGGAACAATGATCCTCAGGCTATGATGAGAATCAATCAGCGCCCAACAAACATTTGTTTCCATTTTTATTATCGATTAGCTAGCATTTTTTCAAAAGCCTCTGCTAGATATTAGGCACTGTACTAATTCAAATAAAAGAGAAGAACAGTCTTTTTCTCTCAAGGAACTCATTCTAATGGGAGAGATAATATCTTTTGTATTTATCACACCTCCATTTCTGAATATATTCCTTCCCCTCTCCTGATCTTGCCACAAAGAAAAAAAAAAGGCAGAAAATCAACAGTAGTAACCAACACGTCAACTGATTCTAATGGTAAACGTAGTGCTCCACACCCATAGTCCCCCAAGAAGAAAAGAAGGTACATTTTTCTCATCTCTTCTTCAAGGCCAGGCTTGGTCATTATAGGAGCACCATGACCAATTTCAGGGTGGGGGGGCGGTTCTTTTCATTGATCTTATTACAGGTACGTATATTAACAAGTATTTAGTGAGTGCCTATTGGCTAGGGCCAGTGCAGGAAAGGGTAGTCTTTGACCGATGGTGCTTTACGTCTAAGGTCCCTGTAGTATGAAGGCAGCTTCTTGGGGGAAGAGGAAGGCCATCATGGCAGCTTCCGCTTCCAACGAGCTCAGAACTTTTATATGGAGGGAAGAGGGGCTCAGGTGAGTCTGATTTTCCCAGCCCTGAAGATAAAGTCATGGAGAGAGGCCCCAAGGAGCTGGGAAGCTGGAAGCTTAGAAGCTAGAAGACTCAGGAAGTGAGGTGGGGGCTGGCTGAAGAGGGATTTCAGAGAAGAGACAAAAAAAGGAGGGCAAAGAGGCTAGAGAATACAGAGATGGGGATTACTGGGTAAAAAAAAAAAAAAGACTGGGCAAGAAAATTTAAAAAAAAAACCCAGAAACTCTGGGCTGCAACAAGAACTTCGGTGGAATATATTGGATATTTTTTAAACTTACACATGCAAATGCTAAATACGCAACAATCTCAATAAAATCCTCAAATGTGAATTTATTTGTTGGTAACCCATCATTATCAGTTTTTAACCCATTGCCTAACTGGGTAAAAAGAGATCTTGTATCCTCCTCCTCTCCCAACCGTTGGCTTTTTGCCTGTCCTTTCAATAACAACAATAGGGTCTATGAAGTACTGTCCTCAAAACCTACCCTCACAATACTGTGTTGATCTGAAAGCTGGTTAAAGAGACAACAAGCTAGGTGATAAGCAAATCCATATTGTTTATTCCTTTAAGTTAGACACATGCACATGGGGCCAGAGCTTTACCTTTGACTGAATCAAGCAGTTTTAGGAGGACATTTAAACCCTGACTCAGGATGTCTGCATTACTCAGATTCATGGTCTCCGTATATGTTTAACCACAGCGTGGGAATAGAGTTTTCTTTGAATAGGTTGTAAATACAGTAAGATAGAAGAATGTCAAAGTGTAAATTATAGATCTAGGATATCTGTGTTTCCTTTATCATTAACATGACACAACATAGTATATGCCCATAAAATACCAAGATAAGAAAAGTCCCATTATTCAAGGTAGTGTCCAGGTTTAAGGTGCCTTAGTGGTCATAAACAGAAGAATGCTCTTGGTCAGCTCCAGCTATTGACACAGGAAGGGGCATTCTCAGTTTACACAGAGAGAAAAGATTAATTCAGGTTTTTGGCCCTTTGGGGGCTCAAGTGATCTTAAATGATCATCAGCTGTGAGCTAGGCTGTGCGTGCATTGTGCCCATTTTACAGATAATGTAACTGAGGCTCAAGGAGATCAAGTGATTTGCACAAGGTAATTGGAATTGAAATTAAATCAATGGATAATCTTGAAAGCTTGTGTTCCCCTGACACGTTCCTCAGGGCCAACAGACTTTTTTTTTACTATCCTACATCTACAAGTAAGTACAAAAAGCATTAAGTACCTACTGTGTGCTAGGAACTGTCCTACGCCCTGGACATACAAAGAAAGGCAAAAGGCAGTCAGTACCTGACTTCAAGGAGCTTACAGTCTAATTGGGGAAATAATGTACAATTAGGTACATACAAAATATAGATGTTCTAAAGGGGCAGGGAAGGGGGATATTAGAGAAAATACTAGCAGAAGATATCTCAGGGAGAAGATACCAGTGAGGGAGAGAAGGGGGGGGGGCTCCTGCAGAAAGCTGGATTTGAGGTCTTCTGATTGAAGTGAGAGAGAATAACTCCAGTGGCTCCCTAGAGTAGTAGCTAGGTGGCACAGTGGATAGAGTGCTGGGCCTGGAGTGAAGAAGACCTAAGTTCAAATCCAGCTTTAGACACTTCCTAGCTGTGTGACCCTGAGCAAGCCACTTTACCCTGTTTTCCTCAATTTCCTCATCTATCAAATGAGCTGGAAAAGGAAATGGCAAACCACTCAAAACCCCAAAAAGGGGTCACAGAGGCGAACATGACTGAACAACACCAATTAGCTCTACCACAAAATACAAAATCCTAAGCCTGACATTGAAAGCTCTGGTTCCTATTTACCTTTCCAGTCTTATTTTGTATTACTAGCTATTCCCTGTAAATAGCATTCCATCTTCTACCTCTGTACATTTACGTAAGCCTTCCCCTTAATCTGGAACATTCATAACCACCTTCTAGAATCCTTAACTTCATTCAAAGTACAGCTCAGGTGCTACCACCTACCCAGGCCTTTTTTGACCCCACAAGCCCTCAGTCCTCTAAGCCTCATAAAATTACTTTGTATTTCTTTATTTATGTGCGTATGGTATCTTCTGGGTGGAATGGATGCTCCTGGATGGCAGAAATGCTCTTGTTTTCATCTTTGACTCCCCAGCTCTGATGTAGGAGGTGCTTAGTAAGTTGTGTTGAACTTACTGGGTTGAGTTGTGTTGAACTGAATTGATCTGATCCATTTCAAAACCCCTTTTCTGGCTAGAAAACTAGACATTGGTCTGTTAGCCATGGCCCAGACAGTTGCTTATGTGTCTAATTTTTTTTCCAGGACACCAAGAATGAAAGCGCCCCTGTAAGTCCAAAGGATATGGAAAAAGCAAAGGCTAACAAAATTACAAAGGTAAGTCAAAGAAGCATTTCCTTTGGGTCTTTCATTAAAATCCACAGACATGTTCATGAGGCTATGTCAGGGCTTGGGGATTCATTGAAAGCCACCTTCCCTGGAGTGCCCACAGCAGATCCATTCTTCATGATGCAATGGGTCAGAGTTTCTAAGGGCTTCCTTTTGGGCTCCATCTGAGAAGAATCTCCCACCCCAGTACTCAGAACTAGTATTTGGCCCTGCAATACCCTTGGAGACTATCAAGTCCATCTTTATTTTAAATATAAAGAACTGAAGCCCAGAGATGTTGAATGATTTTTTAAGGTCACAGAAGCTTTACATGACAGATCTGAGATTGTATTGAATTTAGTTAATTGAATTGAACTGAACTGAATTTAAAAAAAAAAGTAAGCATGATACCTAGAGGACTAACATATTTCATCAATAGAACCCACTAATGTAGTCATAGAATCCCAGAATCTCGGCGCTGAAAGAGACCTCAGAGGTTATCTAGCTCAACCCGTACCTAAGGCAGAATCCCCTCTGCGACATACCCAACCTAGCCTAGCTAGTCACCTAGCCTTTGACTGACCTCCTTCAGGAACAGAGAGCTCACTGCTTTCAAGGTAGTCCCCTGTACTGTTGGACAGCTCCCAGCACTAAGAAGTTCTTCCCAACATCAAGCTGAAATTTTCTTCTTTACAGCTTCCAAGCATTGCGCCTGGTTCTGTCCTTTGAAACTAAGCAGAACAAAACTAATCTCTCTTTCAGGTAACAATCCTTCAGGTATTTGAAGAAAGCTAGGTATCCCAATGGATAGAGCACTGGACCGGGAGTGAGGAAGACATGAGTTCAAATTTGGCCTCAGACACTTACTAGTTGTGTGACCCTACGCAACTCACTTAATCTCTGTCTGCCTCCGTTTCCTCATGTATAAAATGATGGAGGGGCAGCTAGGTGGCACAATGGATAGAGCGCTGACCCTGAAATCAGGAGGTCCTGAGTTCAAATCTGGCCTCAGACACATAACACTAGCTATGTGACTCTGGGCAAGTCGCTTAACCCCAATTGCCTCACCAAAAATAAATAAAATGATGAAGTTGGACTCTATGACCTCTGATGTTCCTTTAAGCTCTAAATGTATGATCCTATGTACCTGAAAGGGTTGCTTTAAACAACAAAAATTAAAGTTATTATTAAAAGCAAAGAGAAGCATCATGGTATCATGGATAGAGAGCTGACCTTGGGAGTCAGGGAGACCTGGGTTTGAGTTCCACCTCTGACACAGATTGGCTTTCTGACCTTGGGTACTTCACTCTGAGTGCCTTGGCATCTCTCTACCACTCACTGGCAGAGCAGATGCCCATCTGCTTTGGTAGAGAAAGTCCCTCCATCAAGAATTCCCTTTACTTGTGGAACCACAGCCAAAAATGAAAATCAATGCACTTTATAAACACAAATTCTGACATACAGGTATAGCCTCGGAAAGCAAGCCTCACTGATTTCCCAATTTCACCTCAAGCCTGTTCTATTTATTTTTTTTAATTATTTCTCTTGTTTGTAGGTAAGACAACAAGCAACAATTATTTATTAAGTATCTGCCCCATGCTAAGCACTGGGGAAACAAATATAAGCAAAAATAAAGACGGTCCCTGACCTCAAGGAGTTTGATCCTAGTAGGAGAAAACACACAAAAGGGAGCTAAAAGCAGGAGGAGCTTCTGGTTCTAGAAAGTCAGGAACCAAGTAAGAGGAGAAAGCATCTGGAGCTTTGTGTTTTCTCAGACTCAATCTATAAGAATAAAATGAGGCAGGACGTCCTGTTTTAAAGTTAATTTTATGGTCACTTAAATGGTTTTGTAAAGCAGCACTGCCTTGAGTTTGACGTCTATGTCTATGTAAATTAGAAAGAACTAACAACAGTCACATCTTTACCATAAGATATGTGCTAACTCCAGAGGGGCATTGTAGCATAAGGGACAGCATCCTGGACTTGGAATCAGAGAGCCATGGATTCACGTCCTTCTTCTGACCTTTACTGATTTTGTGACCCCAAGCTAAGCCATTGAGCCTCGGTGGACCTCAGAGACCACACTAAGTTACATCTCTGAGAACTTCCATGCAGAACACATGTTTAGCCCATTTGGGAGAAATATTCTGCCATTTTTTAAAGCACACCAGTATCAAATGCTGTTCTTAAAGTGCTCAGATGAGAAGTAACTCATCTGTGCTAATCAGTAGTGTTAGATTATCATTCTCATTATGATTATTTGAGCTCTTAGAACAATGCCTGTCACATAATGGCAGTAATAATAATAAAGCAGCTACTACGTAGGGCAGCTAGGTGGCACCATAGTGCGCAGAGTGCTGGGCCTGGAGTCTGGAAGTCTCATCTTCCAGGAAGTCTCGTCTTCCTGAGTTTAAATCCAGCCTCAGACATCTACTAGCTGAGTGACACTGGGCAAGTCACTTAACCCCATTTGCCTCAGTTTTGTCACCTGTAAAATGAGCTGGGGAAGGAAATAGCAAAGCACTCCAGAATCTTTGTAAAGAAAACCCCAAGTGGAGTCACAAAGAGCCAAAAAAACCCACTAAAGAGTAACAAGCTAGCATTTATATAGCCTGTACTATGGTCCAGGTACTGTGCTAATTGCTTAACAAATATTATTTCATTTAATCTTCTTAACAACCCTGTGAAATAGGTACTGTTATTAGCCCCATTTTACAATTGAGGAAACTGAGGCAAACTGACTTGCCCAGTCATATCGCTAGAAAGTATCTGAGGCTGGATTTGAACTCAGACCTTTCTGATTCCAAGCCCAGCACTCTAACCATTGAACCACCTAGCTGTACTTAATAAAGGTGTTTCTCTCTCTCTCTCTCTCTCTCTCTCTCTCTCTCTCTCTCTCTCTCTCTCTCTCTCTCTCTCTCTCTCCCCCTTCCCTTCCCTTACCTCTCCTCCCCCATCCATCCATCCAACCATCCATCCATCCACCTAGCTAGCTAGCTATCCATACAGGAGTTAGTAAGAAAAGCTCTATCTGTTAAGTTCTACCTCTAGCATTTACTGGCCGTATGATCCTCTGGGCAAGTAATTTCACCCCTCCATTTCCTTATCCATGAGAATGGATAGAATAATGTGTGCACAACCTACTTCACAGGGTTGTTATGATGAAGAAGGTTTTGTTCTGCCACAAAGTGCCATGGAAAAGAGAGTTATAATTGTAGGCAAGAGGCAATGAGCATGTCATTCCACAGGTATAAGAACTTCCTCCAAAGGTGCATATCATAACCATACATATTTTAGTAAGTAAACCTTCTTAAAACTCAGAAAGGTCATGTAGGTCAAGGTCATATAGCTAGCAAATTTTAAAAATAAGATTTGAGTCTAGGTCTTCCTGATTTGGGGTCCAACATTCCAGTCTGCTGTGCCTAGGAGAATTTTAAGATTCCTATCCTGTGAACTGTAGACATACTCCAAAGGAACTTACCCAGTTATCTCATCATGCATGCTCCACATGAAACCATGGAAGTACTGATTCCCAGCTTCCTGCATATTTGGTCTAAGTTCAAAGACGATCAGTACCAATCCATTTGTAACACAGAACTGCCGCTCACACTCGGCTATCCTTAAGCCGATTGCCAGAATATACCAAAGCTTGACAGTTTGTCATAATTCTATGAGTTTCTAGAGAAGAACTAAGGATTTGGAGCTGGAAGGGACCTCAGACATCATCTAACCCAACTTTTGAAGATGAGGAAACTGAGGACAGGGTTGAATGTCCTCATAGAAATCACAGAATCTCCAAGTCAGAAGGGCCATCCCTGAACAAGCATCCTCTCTACAACTTAACTGACAAGGGGCCATCCAGCCTCTGTTAAAGATTTCTAGGGAGAGGGGGCACTGCCTCTCCTGCCTCTGGAGAGCTTTCCACCTTAGGAAAGCTCTCGTTTGCTAAGATATTCCTTACATCAAGCTTAAATCTTCCTCTTTGCACCTTCTACTATGATAGTAATTGATACATTTATGTATGATAGATTTAGAACTAGAAGGAACAAGCATCTATTAAGCATCTATCATGTGCCAGGCACTGTGCTAAGCACTTTATAAATATCTCATGTGATCCTTATACCACATCTAAGAAGTAGGTATGATTATTATCTCCATTTTACAGTTGGAGAAACTGAGGCAGACAGAGGTGAAGTGACTTACCCCAGGGTCACACAGCTAGTATGTATGTGAGGTCAGATTCAAACTCAGGTCTTCCTGACTCCAGGCCCAGCACTCTGTCCGCTATACCCCCGTAGCTGTATTGAAAATTTCCAGTGAGGCAATCCTTCTAAGGTCTCCTGCCCTAGAAGGCCCTCCAATGAGGGAGCCAGGCTAAGTCTCAAGGCAGCCCATTGCAGTGCTGGACAGCTCCCCTTACTCGAAAGCTTGTCCTGACAGCCAGTCCCTAGTTCCCAGTTTGCAGGTACAGCTTCTTGCTCTGCCCTCTGGGACCAGCAGAGCACAGCTAATTCCTCTTCCTTGAGCCAGGCTTTCCAATACTTGAAGACAGCCAGCAGAATACCATGATCCTGATTCTCTTCTCTTTTCTGGGCTAAACAAGGCAAGTTCTTTCATCTGGTCCCAGATACCTGCACTTCCTTCCTCACGCAATTGCTGGGCGGCCCCACTGAGAGTTCTCTGGCAGTCTTAAAGTGGTTGTAACTGGTAACTATTATCTGAGTAACCCAGCTTGGAAAGGGGTAGGAAGCAGCCAACCTTCAGCTCTTGGGGCCTCGTTTCCATTTTCCACTCAAAAGACCCAGAGCAGCACGTATGACCCCCTCACTTTAAAAACAAGAATGAATTTTCTAAACTATTTCAATTTTATTGAGTTCTTTTGTTTTGCTTCACCTTCATCTCCACCTATGTCCCAACCCTTCCCTCACCCATTCACCTCCACCCATTAAAAATAACCTTTAATAAAAGATAAAAAAAGAAAGAGGGGAGGCACAGGAAGGCGACTTGGTATAACTAAGGAACACATTGGATACTAGATTAAAAGCTAAAAAAGGACCTTAGAGGTCATTGATTCCAACCCCTTCATTTTACAGATGAGGAAAATAAGGCACAGAGAGGTCGTCATTTAGCTGGTAAGTGTCTGAGGCTGGATTTGAACTTGTCTTCCTGACAACAGGTCTAGCACACTCTCCACCATGCTACCGGGAGAGCTGCCATCCGATAAGGCTGACAGTATAGGCAGCGTTCCACACCCACAGCACCCTCCTTACAAATCAATGTGGCCACAGGACATCCAAGCCTGGAATTCCCCAGACCTGCAGCTCAGCTCTCAGTAGCATCTCACCAGCCCTCCCCCTTTGAATAGTGGCTTTCTCTACTCTAACCTCTACTAATGAGCATCCATAACACTTCATTCTTGGCATTTCTCTTTATTAAAATAAAAATCCAGTTAAGTCTCATTACAGAGGAATTAGTTTAGAAGAAAGAAAATCTACAGAATAGTTCCTGAAAATATAGGACTGAAATTCCTTTTATTATCAAAAGATAACAGCCAATTAAGTCTCATTGATCTCTGCCAGTCCAACAAATGAGCTTCACCACCAGGAAATCTGCCCTGATACAGGTGAGAAGAGGCATTGACAGTGAAGTCCCTAAGCAGAGAGGGAGTGGGTACCCCACCCACTGTTCTCCCTACCCTACTGGAAATGCTTCAGGGTGACCTGAGAGATAGCAGCAGAATAACAACGGATATTTACATGACACGTTTTCTGAGGGGGAGGGGGAGGTAGGAGGGGCCCGGCCTGTGAATCCATTATTGTGGGGAATTCTCAGTGGAGAAACTCCTGTTCCCAATGCAAACTGTTCTCCTACAACTTACATCCTTTTTTTTATGTTCTAATCATTCCGTAATTCTTTATTGCTTAGGATTTCCTTTTTTGTTGTGTTTTTCCCCACTTAATAGTATTTTATTTTTTCCAATTACTTGTAAAGATAGTTTTCACATTCATTTTTATAAGATTTTGAGTTCCAAATTTTTCTCCTTCTCTTCCCTCCCCGCTCCCCAAGACAGCAAACAATAGGATATAGGCTATACACATACAATCATGTTAACCATCTTTCCACATTAGTCATGTTGTCAAAGAAGAATTAGAGCAAAAAGGAAAAAGCACAGGAAAGAAAAAAACAAAAAAAAAGTGAAAATAGTATGCTTCCATCTGTATTCAGACTCTATAGTTCCTTCTCTAAATGTGAATAGCATTTTCCATGATGAGTTGTTTGGAATTGTCTTGGATCATTGTATTGCTGGGAAGAGCTAAGTCTATCATAGTTGACCATCATACAATGTTGTACTGTGCACAATGTTCTCCTGGCAATTTACATTGTGAAAGAGATGCCTAGAGCTCTGAGAAGTTAAGTGATTTGTCCAAGGTCACACAGCAGTTGGCACCAGTCAGGCTTTGAACCCAAGTCTTCCTGACTCCAAAGCCTGGGCATTCTCTCTCTCTCTCTCTCTCTCTCTCTCTCTCTCTCTCTCTCTCTCTCTCTCTCTCTCTCTCTCTCTCTCTCTCTCTCTCTCCTCTCTCTCTCTCCATCACACTATGCCATGCCATCTCTATAGTCCCTCATGGTTCACAAAGTGCTTCACCTACATTGTTTGGCTTAGGTTTCACAACAATCCTGTGAAGTAGGTAGAACAGGTATTATTATCCCATTTTTACAAATGAGGAAACTGAGACACAGAGAGGTTAAGTGACTTGTTCATGACAACACAGCCAGGAAGTGTCAGAAGCACACATTGAGTGAAGATTCATAGGGCCATAGGCTCACAATCCTAGAGCCTGAAAGGACTTTAGAAGTCATCAGAGAGAGCTAACCTGGAAACCAAGAAGACCTGGGTTCAAATCCCACTGCTGATATAAAATGGCTGCAGAGAGAGTTTCCTTACCTAGAAGTTCCCTGTATCAATGAACTACAGGTCATAACCAGGTCATAACCCTATCCCAATTTATTGTGTATATCATTCAACCAACATCTTCATGCAATTAAAATGGCACTCTCCAGACTTACCAATAAGCACTTAATTGCCAAGTCTAATGACCTCTTCTCAATGCTTATTTTTAATAACCTTTCAGCAGTTTTTGATCATGTCTATCACCCTCTTATCAAATCTCTCTTCTCTAAGTTTTCATGACATTGCCCTCCCCTAGTTCTCAACCTACTTGTCTAACCACGTCTCAATCTCCTTTTCTGAATCTTCCAATAGGTCAGGCCAGCTAACTTGGGTTGTCTCCCAAAGCTCTGTCCTGGAGTCTTTCCTCTTCTCCCTCAATGCTCTCCCACTTGGTGATCTCACCAGCTCTCATCTCCATAGAGATGCCAATTCGAGCCTTAGTCTCCCTCCTGAACCCTACTCTCATATCACCAATTGCCTTTGGAATCTCAAACTCAGTATTTCCAAAACAGAATTCTTTCCTTCCCTCTCAAATCTTCCCCTCTTCAGAACTTTGCTATTACTGTTGAGGATACCATCATCCTCCTCCCAGTCACCTAGGAAACCTCAGTGTGTCTTCCTTGACTCCCCCCCTGCATTCACACCACACATCTCATCTGTTGTCAAATCTTATCATTATAACCTTCAAATTCCATATAAATCCTAGTATAGGATGCCCTAATCACTTTTCACCTGGACTAGGTCAATAGCCTCCTAATTGGCCTTCCAGCCTCAAGTTTCTTTTTATTTTAAGCCATCCTTGACTCAATTGCCAAGTTGATTTACTCAAAACTCAGTTCTGACTATGTCCCTCCCTCCCTGGCTCAATAAATCACAGCAGTTCCCTATTACCTCCAGGATAGAAAGTCCTCTGTTTAGCATGTAAAGGCCTTGACAATCTACCCCCTTCCTACGTTTCTGGTCCTTATACTTTACTCACCTCCACATATTTTGCAATCCAGTGACACTGGCATGCTTGCTGTTCCTCAGACACAGCACCCCATCTCCTGACTACATTTTCATTAGCTAGCTCCCATGCTTGGAATTGTCTCCCTTCTCATTTCTGCTTCTACTTCCCTGGTTTCCTTCAGCGCTCAATCCAGATCTTACCTTCTACAACACACACACACACACACACACACACACACACACACACACCCCTCCCCCAGGACCTCTCATCTGTAATTGTTTCCATATATACTGTATATATCTTGTATGGCTCTGCCATTAGATTGTGGCACTTTGAAGGGAGGGACTCTTTTTGCCTTTCTCTGAATCCCCAGCACTTAATAAAGTGCCTAGCCCATAGGAGGTACTTAATAGATGTTTATGAACGGATTGTGATCTCTTGAAGGCAGGGATTATCTTTTGCCTTTTCTCGCATCCCAGCACAGCACTTGGTGAATAGGAGGAGCTTAATAAGTTTTGACTGACTGCTTGTTGACTAACTATGTATTTTATACACTTGTTTTGAATGTGCCTCTCAATCGTGTACATCACATCTTCCCTGATACGACACAAGTTCCTTCAAGTCTGGTTTGTTTGTGTTTGTCTTTGAATCCTTGGTGCCTAACACACAGAGTTCTTAACAAATGCTTAGCCAACCCTCTCATCTCTTAAGATAATGTAACTGAGGCCAAGAAGCCAAGTCAGTTGGCCAAGGCCATGTAACAGAGTAACATGTAACAGTAACAGAGCTCCTCTAATCCCAAGTCCAGTGCTCTGTCCACTTCACCTAGATTGCCCACACTTATCCACTAGGCCCATCTCCCTCCCACTTGGCAGCAGGCAGCTTGCCAGCTTAGCAAAGGGACAAGCAGCAGAGCTTAGCAGAGAGACCATCAACTAGTCCTTATGGCCTTAGGCAAGTAATTTATCTCCTCTGGGCCTCATTTTACCTACCTGCCAAATGAGGAGGACTGGACTAGATGGCCTCTGAGGGACTTTATTAGCAGTCTCCTTGTTCCTGGGTTCAAATCCTTCCCTCTGATACTTCCTCTGTGGCCTTGGTCAAGTAATTTCTCATATCTAGACCTCACTTTACTCAGCTGTAAAAAAAAGGGCATTGGGGGACAGCTAGGTGGTGCACTGGCCCTGAAGTCAGGAGGACCTGAGTTCAAAGCTGGCCTCAGACCAAACACTTGACACTTACTAGCTGTGTGACCCTGGGCAAGTCACTTAATCTCAACTGCCTAAAAATTTTAAAATGTTTAAAAAAATTTTTTTTAAAGGGCATTGGACTTGATGGCTTCTAAGGTCCCTTCTGGCTCTTGCCTCTGATCCTATACATGATTTTCAGGTGAATGGAGCTATGTAACTGACAGGATAAGACTTTGAGATCTCCATGAAAATTTCAATTAGCCCAATAGGAACCCTTGGTGTAGATACTAATTAACATTTGGATAGAAATGGGGGAGAAGTGGAGAAAGAATCTGTGAAGGATATAACAAAGGACTGGAGTCTTTTACACTGTTTTAAATATAGAATCTAAACCTGAGACAGTGACAATCTGGATCCAGCTGATAAACTTACATGGATAATATTCTGATGGTTTCCTATTAGGGTTCGGCACCTAGGCAGAGCTTTAGGTATATGGAGAAGGAAATCACAAACCTCAAGAGAGACCTCCTACACAGCCGGTAAGAGAACTCAGGGTGGTGGTATGGATGTGCCTTGAGGGCAGGGACAGTGCCTGGCATGTGGTGAGCACTGGATGGATATTTTTAAATAGGTTGATTCATCAAAACAACATTTATTTTTAATTTTCTAAAAATTAGTGTTTTATTAATGCCTTTCATTTTTACATCGGTAATGTCCAGATTTACCCTTTCCAACAAGAACCCAATTAGCTTTCCCTTGTAATAGACACAGTTAAGCAATAAACCACAGCAGTTCCCTATTACCTCCAGGATCTCAAGTCCTCTGTTTAGCATGTAAAGGCCTTGACAATCTACCCCCTTCCTACCTTTCTGGTCCTCTTATGCTTTACTCACCTCTGCATATTTTGCAATCCAGTGACACTGGCATGCTTGCTGACCATACCTGAGAGTATAGCAACATGCTGTTCCCCTAAGCCCCTACTTCTCCACTGAAAGGAAGGAGGTATGTCAGCTTTTCCCTGAAGCCAAGATCCTACATACACTTTCAGAAGACATGGACTGAAGATGTAAGCAATAAGAGGTAACAGAAGGTGAATAAAAAAGCATGGGACAGTCTAATAAGGAAACTGAGAATGAATAAAAAGGTGTCAGGGAAATATAGAGAGAGCTAAAGGTATTGGTTTTGCAACATCAAGGGAAATAGAAAGGAAGGGAATGATGGAGATGATGATGATGATGGTGATGATGATGGTGATGGTGATGATGATGATGGTGATGATGGTGATGATGATGGTGATGATGATGGTAATGATGGTGATGATGATGGTGATGATGATGGTGATAATGATGGTGATGATGATGGTGATGGTGATGATAATGGTGATGATGGTGATGATGATGATGATGGTGATGGTGATGATAATGATGATGGTGATGATGATGATGATGGTGATGATGGTGATGGTGATGATGATGATGATGGTGATGGTGATGATGGTGATGATGATGGTGATGATGGTGATGATGGTGATGGTGATGGTGATGATGATGGTGATGATGATGATGATGGTGATGATGATGATGATGGTGATGGTGATGATGATGGTGATGATGGTGATGATGATGATGATGATGATGATGGTGATGATGATGATGGTGATGATGATGATGATGATGATGGTGATGATGGTGATGATGGTGATGATGGTGATGGTAGTGATGGTGATGATAATGATGTTGGTGATGATGGTGATGATGATGGATTGTAGATAAGGTGGAGCTGTCCACCTTATTCTAGGAGCTTGCCCATGATATTTGGCTTCTATTTTTCTGCCAAATAGAATTATTTTGGGATTAGGAAGAACAGAACAAAAACAACTGACAGAGTTGATATCCATCACAAGCAAGGAGGTAGGAAGAGAACACCTAACTGCCCTAATAAGTGACCTTGGGCTAGTCACTTAACCATCCTGGGCCTCAGGTTCCTTATCTGTAAAATGAGGCGGTTATGCTTACTGGCTTTTAAGGTCTCTTCTAGCACTATCTCTATAATCCTATAAACTGTTGATTGCTGTGTCCAGCTCATCGTGACCCCATTTGGGTTTTCTTGGCAAAGATGCCAGAGTGGTTTGCCATTTCCTTCTCCAGCTCATTTTACAGATTAGGAAGGTGAAGCAAACAGGGTAAGTGACTTGCCCAGGGTCACACTGCTAGTAAGTATCTGAGGCTGGATTTGAATTCAAAAAGATGCATCTTCCTGGCTTCAGGTCTGACGCTCTATGCGTTATGGTGTCACCTAGTGGCCAATCCTATGAACTACATAAATTATTATTATTGAAACTTTGCAAAATGCTTTACAAATATCTGGTTATATGCTCACAGCATCCCTGGGAAATAAGCACTATTATTATCCTCCTTCTACTGATGAGGAAACTAAGTCTGAAAGAGATTAAATGACTTGTCCAGTGTCACACAACTAGCAAATTACTTGAGACAAGATTTGAACTCAGTTATTACTACATCCAAGTCCATTGTTTTACCCAGAGTTCCACCTAGCTGCCATCTCAAAGTCCCGGAAAATTTAGGAGACATGATTGTCCCATCACTGTCAGGGATATCTGAAAGATTGTGAAGAACAAAGGAAGCCTCACTCGATTGGGGAAGGGCAAATATTGTCCTGATTTTCTGGAAAGATGAGAATAACATCTATGAACAATAATAGTTCAACAAAATGAGGGGAATTAAACTGGATGACCTCTGAGATCTCCTCTCTCTAACAGTTCCCTGTGCTTGCCTGGGTTCAAGTCCTGTCTCTGATATCTACTACCTGTGTGACCTTAACAGGTCCTTTGAGCTCCTTGGGCCTCAGTCTCCTCATCTGTAAAATCAGCGTGGCTTAACCAGGTGGCTTCTGAGATCTCTTCCAGCTCCACATCTGTGGTCTTTTAGAAGATCTGTATTTGAATGGTTTGTTTGAATTATTTAATAATAATAACAATAATGTGTTGTTGAAGTTTGGTCGTTTCAATCATGTCCGATTCTTTATGACCCCACTTGGGGTTTTCTTGACAAAGATGCTGGAGCGGTTTGCCATTTCCTTCTCTAAAAATCGACTACAGAAGCACAAGATAGGGCTTGGGTTGGTAGGAAGCAGAATAGGAAGGAAGGGAGGAAGGGAGGGAGGGAGGGAAGAAGGAAGGAAGGAAGGAAGGAAGGAAGGAAGGAAGGAAGGAAGGAAGGAAGGAAGGAAGGAAGGAAGGAAGGAAGAAAGAAAGAAAGAAAGAAAGAAAGAAAGAAAGAAAGAAAGAAAGAAAGAAAGAAAGAAAGAAAGAAAGAAAGAAGGAAGGAAGGAAGAGGAGGGAGGGAGAGAGGAAAGAAATAAAGAAAAGGAGGAAGAAGTCAAAAGAAAGAAAGGGAAGGAGGAAAGAAATAAAAAAGAAGGAAATAAAGAAAAGGAAATTAGAAAAAGGAAAATATCTCAGGGTTTTAATGACCAGTAAGTTACTGAAGAAGATAATACTTGCAAAGCTCAATATCTGGCTATGCAACTCAATAGAGAGAATGCTGGACCTGGAGTCAAGAAGACATGTGTTCAAATTCAACCTCTGACACTTACTAACTATATGACCCTGGGCAAGTCACTTAAACCTGTCTGCCTCGGTTTCCTCATCTGTAAAATTCAATTTATCCAAGAACTCATTATTTCTAGCCATTTATATTCATTCATTGAAAATGAACAAAACCAGGTTTATTTTCCATTCAAAAATTATTTGTATTGTAGGGGGGAATGTTGTTAAAGTATTCTTCTTGGTTATTCTTGTGGCCTCAAAGCACCATGTGGCCCTCTAGGTCCTTGGGTGTGGCCTTTTGACTGAGTCCAATTCTTACAGAACAAATCCTTTTATTAAGGGGATTTGGTCTGTGAAGTTTGCATTCAGTTAAAGGGCTGCACTTCAGGACCTAGAGGGCCACGTGGGGCCTTGAGGTTGCCAGTTCCCCCCCCCCACCCCACGTCAAGGAATGTACATTTTTACACTATTTTTTAACTATTGCCCTTGAAGGGGGGTGGGACATGTAGCAACTGCTCAATCTTTGATAACCTTGGAGTGAGAGGTTGCAGTCGAGCGATTAGAACAGATGTGAGATCACAAGGGGTTGAGAAGAGTGTGAGTGGAGAGACTGGAGGCGACGATAGCAGTTTGGGTTTTTTTTTTTCTAGAGGTTTGTCTATACTTGGAAGGGAGATTTAGGGCGGTAGTTTGGCAGGAAGGCAGAAACAGGTGCAGCATTTTTAGGAATGAGCCCTGCTCCTGGGGCAGGTTAAAGTTGGTGGATCCCTTGGGTTCAGGTGTGTGGAGAGGCAGGAACAGTATCCAAGCCGAGGGCCAATGTGGCAAGCCCCTGGGGAAGCAGAGAGCTGCCCAAATAGAGAGCAAACCAGGTCCGACAAATAGAGCAAGAAATTGTAAAGCGTCTGAGGGGCTGCTGCGTTTCCAACTGAACAAGATATGAGGTTTGGAAAATACCAGCAGATAGGGAAAGGTTGACAATCACAAAGGGATGCTTCTCTAGAGAGGTGGGGGACTAGGTGTGGAACATTTTATATGGTGAATTGGTCAGTTTGATGAACTGAGGTTTGTTGGGTTTTTTCCCTCTTTCTTTTTTATTATCTGTGGTAAGGGATAGCTTTCTGGATGGGAGAAGAGGGAGTTGGGAAATTAAGGTCATGTAAAAACAAATTGAATAAGAATTTGAGATGAAAAGGAAATTGGAGGCATAGAGGCAATGAATGAAGGGCCAAGGTGAAAGGAGGGAAAGGGGATCAAGAGCACATGGGGTTGGGCTGGTATGATTAGCCCTGAGGGTAAAACAAAAACATGCTTCCTCATAATGACTAGAGGATGACAGAACCCCTGGCTGCTCATCTCATGGGCACAGCCCCAGCTGAGCTCTGCCACCCCCATACTAACAAATCCAAATTTAACATCCCCTGTAATTGATACTTGGCTTGCTAAAGATTCCAGCTTGCACATCCATTTACAAGTAAGCAAAAGGTCAATGCCAGCCTTTTGGCACAGGAAGCATGCTTGAAGAGGATCTTAAGTCAGTCATAGAATTGAACATCTTTCACTAAGTGTATAGAGGGGTTAGTTAGAGCGCTGAGCCTAGAGTCAGGAAGACTCCTCTTTGTGAGTCCAAATCTGGCCTCAGACACTTTCTAGCTGTGTACCCTGGGCAAGTCACTTCACCCTGTTTGCCTCAGTTTCCTCATCTGTAAAAGGAGATGGAGAAGGAAATGGCAAACCACTCCAATATTTTTGCCAAGAAAACCCCAAATGGGATCACCGAGAGAGTTGGATATAACTGAACAACACCAATGATCCTTCATTAAGCATGATTTAGATGCTTAATCTCAGACATCTTCCGGATGATAGCAATGGTTTGATACACCTGGTGCTAGTACTGTCTGGCCTCCTAGCTGTATGAGAAGGATTAAAATCCAGTAGGAAGCCTGCTGGATCTGCAGGCAGATGAAATGG